TGCAGCTTGAATTGCTGACATGAAGAATGGTTGCAGGAATTGGGTATGTCTAGTTTAATGAAAAGAAGGAACAGGGTGATTGATAGAAGTCCTCCAGTATCTGAGGGGCTGCCCCAAAGAAGAGGGTGGGGTCCACCTATTCTCCAAAGCACCGGAAGGCAGGACAAGAAGTAACGGATGGAAACTAACCAAGGAGAGAAGCAACCTAGAACTAAGGAGAAATTTCCTGACAGCGAGAACAATTAATCAGTGGAACAGCTGGCCACCAGAGATTGTGGGTGCTCCAACACTGGAAGTTTTTAAGAAAAGATTGGACAACCATTTGTGTGAAATGGTAGAGGGTCTCCTTCTTAGGCGGGGGGTTGAAATAGAAGACCTACAATCTCTTTGCAGCTCTGCTATTCTGTTATTTGAAGGCTAAAGCAACCTTGGCAACTTTAAGACTTGCTGACTTCAAACTCCCAGAATTCCCCAGCCAGGAGAAACCGAAGATTCAGGATTAAAGTCGGCTCAATTTCACACCAATAAAGCTTGCCTAGTTATCAGGAACTCCACCCTTCAGTGTACACAATTTCCTATTATGAACTGCTCATAATTTACAACTTGGAGGATTCTTCTAAAAAAGGGGGGGGGCTTCAACTGCACAATCATAGCCGCCATCTTGACTTTTCTGCCCTCCCTCACATCTTTTCCAACCAGGAGGCCGTCAGCCAACGTTTAGAACACGAGGCCCTACTTTTCCGCGTCTGTTTTTCGCTTCGTCAGACTTGCAAATTAAAATCAAGTTTTTGGCTTTATTAACGTGCCTCCTTGCATTTCCAAGGAAATCAAAGAGAAAATAAAGGCGAAAAGACAAGATTAAATTTAAAAGCAGCCACCACATCTTGTTTACATCCTGAGGTAAACATGACAAGCTGTGAACTGCCAAGGATTCGGGTGCATTTTTCTATCATGTACAGCATTTCCACCTAATTTGGGCGCAGTTTAAATAATGGCACCTTTTAGAGAATAGAAACCGCCCTTAAATATTGGCACCTTTCTTCCTTCCTTCCTGTGCATTTGAAAAGAATTAGGTTGAGAATGAATTAAAAGAATGAATTTAAGAGAAACAATGCTGGGGGCCACTTCAACTGCCTTCGTTGTTTATCCCTCTCTAGTCAATTTTAAAAGGCGTCCAGCTTCTGAAAATAATCCCGTTTAATCCATTTCAAGAGCTCTTCTAGTCAATTTCTCAGCCGTTCTGGTCAATTTCACAGCACCCAGAAGAAAATTCCCTTTGATCTTCAACAGCAGCAGCTTGGCATATCACAGAAAACCCCCAAAACCATCAAGGAAGAAAGGAGGCATTTCAAAACCAGGGGTCCTGTATTCCTTGGTAAATGATGCCAAGGGTAATCTTGGGAATGTTTTTTTTTTAAATCACAATAGTAGCTGATACTCTCCAATCAAAATCCTGCTTGTTTCCAATGTGCACGTTGCATGCAACCATCCCAGTCAGAATAACAGAAGTTAGTTGGAAGGGACCTTGGAGGTCTTCTAGTCTATCCCCTTGCTTAAGCAGGAAATCCTATACCATGTCAGACAAACAGCTGTCCAATCTTTTCTTGAAAACTTCCAGTGATGGAGCACTCACAATTTCTGAAGCCAAGTTGTTTCACTGATTCATTGTTCCAGTTATCAGGAAATTTCTCCTTAATTCTAGGTTGCTTCTCTCCTTGGTTAGTTTCCATCTGTTGCTTCTTGTCCTGCCTTCAGGTGCTTTGGAGAATAGGTTGACCCTTTCTTCTTTGGGGCAACCCTTAGATATTAGAGCACTGCTATCACGTCACCCCCAAGTCCTTCTTTTCATTAAACTAGATCTACCCAATTCCTGCAACCGTTCTTTGTATGTACTCCAGACTCCTAAAACATATGCCCAACACTTGAAGGAACTGGGCATGTCTAGTCTAAGGAAGAGAAGGACTGGGGTGTGGGTGGGTGTGACAAGATAGCATCTTGCAATATTTAAGGGGCTGTCACAAAGAAGAGGAGTTGTTGGTTTTTTTTGTCAGCCTATTGTCCTCCATCTTGGCTTTTTGATCCCATCTGCAAAGACCCCTATTAAACCCCGTGGTTAGGATTCCTGGCACGCAATTGTTCCGCTTGTGTCTCTGTTTGACAACGGTGCCACGTTGCGCAAAAATGCCCGTTTTTGGGTAAGACTTTTGCCCTTCCCTGTTGTCGAGCTTCCTGACTGACACTGAGATGAAACAATTTGTGTTCCTTCCACTTCCCCCCTTAATTTGCAGCTTTCTCACACATGTTTTCTGTTCTGGTTTTTCCATCCTGTTGATTTGATGGCCAGCCATCCTGAATGCTAATTTTAATGGAAGAAAGGACAGGAAAGTGGCTTTTAACAAGAAGGACCAAGTCCCCGACGTGATTATCATTTCATAAAGCAGCATCTGGGGTTCTTCGTCTTAAAACCGAAGAACAGATTCTTTACCAAGATAGTGCAGAATGAGGATGGTTTCCCACGTCCATCCCCACCAAAATGGTACACTTAGTCCTCGGTTTACAACCTCTCATTTAGCGACCGTCCCAAATGACAACAGCATTGGAAGAAGTGAGTTATGACCACTCCTCCCGCTGACCACCTTCTCGGCATCCCCACCGTCCGGTGACAAAAATTTGGATGTTTGGCAACCGGCATGGATGGATGAATTCTGGGAATTGGTGCCCACCCATCTTAAAATTGCCAAGGTTGAGGAACGGGCTCTAAATGAATAAATAATTCCATTGCAAAGGCTATAAACCTGATAACGGGCGTGTGGGGAATTGAAAATGGGGGGGGAGGGAAGGAAGGAAGGAAGGAAGGAAGGATAATGAGTAGAAGATACGCCTAAACTGTCTGCTAATTGTCCTATTAGGGAGAAGGAAGAGGAGGGGGAAGAAAAGGGAGGAAAGAAAGAAAGAAAGGAGGGAGGGAGGGAGGAATGGAAATAAGGAAGGAGAGGAAGAAAGGAGGGAGAGAGAAAGAAAGAAAGAAAAAGGAAGAAAGAAAAGAAAAAAGAAAAAGAAAGGAAGGAAGGAAGGAAGATGTGAAAAAGAGAAAGGCTCATATCTTTAATTTTTCTGGCTTATTTCTGAACAATTTTTCTCCTTTTCTCCAGAAATGTCCCCTCTTTTAATCAAGACAATCGACTGCACATTATCCAAAACTGGGGGACGGATGGGGGGTAAACCCCAATGATTTCTGCAAAAAAACTGCTGAGTACTCTGTCTTCACCTAACCTCAGCTGATGAACATTGGAGGAGAAGATAAGATAAGGACATCCGCCTTTGAAATCCCTGCCGCTGAAATTGCTGACAACTCAACCTCATACTTCAGACAAGGGGCAGCAGGACCCCGATGTTGGGGGGTGGGAGGACAAAGAGAAAGCAGGAAAATTCAGCTTATAAAGATTTTTTTTCATTGTAGAAAACGATGTGTGTAAGCAGGACAGATGCTGCCCCTAGACAAGGCTGTGTGTCTCCAAGATAGGGGGAGGTTTCCCAAGCTATATTCGGGAATAGATATTTATATCTACATAAAGTGTTGCTTAGGATAGTGAGATGGGTAACATGAACATTTAATAAGTAAATATATGCATAGATACAGGTAGTCCTTGACTTACGAACACAATTGAGCCCGAAATTTCTGTTCTTAAGTGAGACATTTAAGTGAGTTTTGCCCTGTTTTTAAATCACTCATTCATTCGTTTTTAATTCACTTTGCCCCGTTTTTAATTCACCGAGCGCTAAAAATTGCATAATTCTACACTTTCCCCCATCCTAGAAGTTAAAATTCATGCCAGAAAACGCTTCACTTTTGAATTTCTGTTTTAACGGAACTGGCTCCACGTTAAGCCTTTAATTGCAAAAGATCCTTTAGTGACGCTTGAACAGGTGAAATATTTCCCATTTCATGTCGCCCCGAAAGAGGGGACAGGCAGGCGCGCTTATTCCTTTCTCGAAAGGGCTTATTCTCTGCCAGAAAGACGGCTCGCACAAGCTATTGAAGAAGGAAGAATGCAGATTGTCCTGTTCTCCCCTCCCCACCCTGATTTTGGGGGATTATATACTTCAAAAAAAAGGAGGGGGAGAGAGAGAGATAACATCAAAGGAAAACACCGTGGGGAGGGAGAGGAGCAAGGACAGCTTCAAATGTTTTGACTCTTCTGATAATGGCTCTTGTGAAGAAAATCACAGAGAAGCTCAGCTACTATAAAACAGGGGTCTCCAACCTTGGCAACTTTAAGCCTGGAGGACTTCAACTCCCAGAATTCCCCAGCCAGATTTGCTGGGAGCTCAAGTCCTCCAGGCTTAAAGTTGCCAAGGTTGGAGACCCCTGCTATTGTATGTCCTGGGTAGGAGATGGATCCACTCCCTGCTGCTAAAACCATTTTTCTGGAAGCTCTCCTCCACAATGCCAGCTCTGGGGTACACTCAACAAGATATGATGAGCGGGGCATTGGGCTTTTGGGGTTATGGAAGATTTTGAAGGAAGGTTGGGGTCACCACTCCTTAGACTAGAAAAGTGTTTGTTAACATTAGTGCACTTGAAGATGGGTGGATTTCAACTCCCAGAATTCCCTAGTCAGCATGCGGTTGAGCTGGAAGATGTCCCCAGCTGACATGGACGACTTCCAGAATTCCCCAGCCGACATGGACAAGTCCCTACAGTTTTCTTGGCAAGGTTTGTCATAAATGTGTTACCATTGCCTCCTTCCTAGGGCTGAGAGAAAGTGACTGGCTCATAGTCACCCTGCTGGCTTTGCGCCTTAAGCAGAACTAGAACTCTCAGTCTCCCGGTTTCTAGTCTGATACTTTCACCAGGACACCAAACTGGCTCTTTTCCCAGGCATTTCCCATCTCTTCCAACACAGGCTGTGGCACGAAGGCAGCCCCCCACCCACCCACCCTCTACGTGACCCCTTCCCAGGGCTGCTGATTGTGCCCGGAGGGGGTGCTGCACCTACCGTGAGGGGCAACGTGCAGATGACGAAGATGACCGTCATGAGAGCGAGCAAGATCAGGTAGTCCACCTCTTCCTCCCCTCGGCTGAACCAGCTCTTCTTCCGGCGCTGGCCCGTGCCCAGGGAGCCCCTCCGGCGGTGCCTCTGTTTCTGGTACATCTGGCAGAGGCTGACAATGACCAGTCCGTTGCAGAGGAAGATGGCCACGATCAGGAGAGCCATGACGGTGGCGTAGGACAAGGAGAAGGCCACGTCCCTGTAGCCCACGGCCATGTCTTTGTCCATCTGGACGAAGCACCAGGTGCCCGGACAGTACTGTTTGAACTTGCCAACTTTCAGGAAGGGCAGGGCGCAGAAGAGGCCGCTGAAGACGTAGGTGAGGGGCAGGCAGAGCTTGACCCACCGCCGGACGTGGTGCTGCGAGTAGACGTAGGGGTAGCTGATGGCCAGGCACCGTTCCACCGCCATGGCGCAGAGAAGGAACATGGCAGCCAGGCTGAAGTACATCATGGAGAAGGCAAACAAGTTACACAGCCAGTCCCGGCCCCCCACCATCCCCACCAGGGTGGAGTTGCAGGAGTAGGCCACGAAGACCACCGGAGACACCACGCAGGTGCCCGCCAGGTCGGTGACCACCAAGCCGGTCACCAGGATGCAGAAAGACGAGGTCTTGGCCCGCTGGTCTTTCCGGTGGACGCCGAGAATGGCCAGGGCTGCCAAGTTGCCCACCACCCCAGCCGCAAACATGAAGGAGCTGAGGGTGGGGTTGCTGTCCGTCTGCAGGGTGGTGAGGTTGCTGCACTGGCGGGGCAGGCTGCCTGTGAAGCCGGGGGTCCGCGTCGGGCACATTGGCACGGGGGAGACCACCCTGCCAGGAACCTGGAGGGGGAGGGAGGCCCGGGCAGCTTCGGTGGTCCAGAGGAGAACTTTGACAGGTAGAGAAAGTGGCCGCTGGAGAATTGAAAAAGAAATGGTAGGTGGCTCGCCTGCCTGCCAGGAGCACCCAATCTGGCTCCGAGCTCCTCACTGAGGTCTAGCAGCTTGACAGCATCCAAGGACGGCGGCGGGTGGAATACCTGCACCTCTTGGAAGGCAGAAAGCAGAAGTCGGGTCTGGTTTGGTGGCTGGGGCGTTCCCGCTCTCCTCCGGCGGTTGGGGTGCGGTGGGCGGTGGGTGGTGGGTGGGCGGGGGTCTCCTCCTCCTCCTCCGCCTCTTCTGGGCTGCCGGGAGGGTCGCTGTGCCTGGGGCGGACGGACGGACGCGCGAGCATCGGAGCCGTCCGGCGCTGCCTGCAGAAGCCACGGGGCTGAGAAGCTGCAGCAACGGGCGGGGACTGGGGCGAGCCTGGCCGCCCCCACCCCGCTGGGGCCAAGCGCCAATGGGCGGTGCGGGCTTCTGCCTGCCCTCCTCCCCCCCCCCCCCCCCCCCCACCCACCCCTCTCTCTCTCTGGCTCAGGATCCCTCCGACCCTCCAGGACCCGCCTGGGGGCTCTTGCGCAACGCCCACCCCTCCGATCCAGAAGCAAGGGCAGGAGCCGCCACCGAGGAGGGCTGGGCAGCTGCTTGGTGGCCGGAGCGGACCCCCCCCCCTCACACACACACGTCCAAAGTCGGGGTCCGGGCGGTCCCGAGGGATCTCTTAAGAAGGTGGATCCCGGATCCCCAAGGCGGGGGCGTTGGAGGGCGACCCCCGCGTTCCGTTCCCACGGTTTCTGACCACCCCCGACCCCGATTAGGGTCTGCTCATTCTCCCCCTTTTCCCCCCACGGGGAAAGCTGGAGCCAGACTCTACGGAACTCACCGCCTCAAGGATGAGGACGCCCCCAGTTGGAGAAAAACCAAATCGCCCTTACCCTCCCTCCCTCCCCCCCCACCCCCCAAAGGAGCAGGCTGGGTTGGGTTGGGTTGGGTTGGGGGCGCCGCGCAGGGCTGGCCGGGGACCCGCGAAACGGCTCGGCGACGGGTGACGGGCAGGCTCCGGAGGAAGGCCGTCAGGTGAGGCGGGGGTGGGGTGGGGTGGGGTCTCCCGCTGCTGGGGCGAGGGGAGGGGGGCGCCCTTTGGAGAAAGCCCCCCACCAACCCAGCAAGAGAGATGAAACTGTAGGTGGTTGGGGCGGGGGGAGAGCTGGGAAGGAAGGAGCTGCACCGGTTGAACGTCTGCCTGTCCCAAGGGGGCCCAAGCGCAGCGCCAGGATGGCTCGAAGGGATCATCTTGCGCAACTCAACCGGGATCCTTGCACAGCCGGAGAGAAACTCTTGGCGCCCCCTGCTGGCCCACGTGGGGAAGCGGAGGAAAACCGTCCGGAGCAGCTGCCTTCCCCAACCTGCCGCCCGCTGCGTTGCATTGGCTTGGACCCACACTCCCCCCCCCCAAAACCCCCCCCCCCCCACCCCCCCCCCCCCGGGAAGGCTGTTGGGAGGAGAGGAGGCGCCAGGACTCCGATCCAGAACTTCCAACTTCAGAAAGGGCTTAATGAGCAGGTTGCAATCCTGGATTTTTATTTATTCAGAACTCTACCGGTTGGACAGTTTGAAAGCACCGGTTCAAGAAAACCCGGCAGCCCCACCAAAGTCTACCAAGGAAAGAGGCCAAATGTTCCAGATTGAGGCCTTTCTCGGCACCGGGATCCGGTACGGACAGGATTGGGAGCAGGAGGCACTGGGCATCCTGGCTAAATCGTGGTTAGTTCAAGTGACAACTGATTCTTCTCCATTCCTGGCTAGCTTGTCCCCTCCTTGCAGTTTTCCTAACAAGGATTTGGAACCCCCAGGAGCTCTGCCCCCCTCCCGCCCTCATGTCACAGCAGGTGGGGCAAGAGTTGAATGGTTGAAGCATCGCTGGGGTCACGTGATCAAAATTCAGACGCTTGGCAACTGACTTGTATTTATGACGGTTGCAGCATCCCAGGGTCACGTGTGTAACCTTCCCAGCTGGTTTCCGACAAGCAAAGTCAACCAGGGGGGGGATTCTCTTAATGACCACACGATTCACTTAACATTCAGAGTGATTTGCTTAACGACGGTCATAAAAGGCTCGTATAATGGAGCGAAACTCATTTAACTTGGCTTGCTTAGGAATGAACATTTTAGGCTCAATTGCGGTCATAAGCCAAGGGCTACCTGTATAGTCATTGTTATTTGGAAAAGCGGCGTGGAACTGCCATCTGCAGGAGCAGTCTATCCTCAAAATTAGGTGAGCTCTGCTATTTTGTGGTTCTTTTCAGGGGCTTCCTGGGAAGCAGGAAGAAGCCGGGCCCAGCAGGGTCTGGTTGGGTTCGCTGTTCCTCCGTCTCCGGGGCCCTCCCTCTCTGCCTGGCATTGCAAGAGAGCTGGGTGCCAATTCTGCCCTTCCTGCCCAGAATTGGCTGGTTCTGTAGACACGGAGCTCCGGTGGAAATGTTTTAACGCCACTTTAGTCTTCATAAACAGCTGGTTTCACTTCCCAAGCTTTGCGAGACAACGCCTTGGCCTGGTCCTTGCTTTCTTTTTATGCAATTTTTTTTATTAAGAATCTTCGCATAACTAAAAAGCCGATCGAAAGGAAAAAAAAACACATGATGAAAAAAAAAGAAAGAATGAAAAGAAAAAGAACGTGCAGGGGGGAGGAAGAGAACAGAAAATGAAGGGGTTTTGGGATCCAGAGGTGGGCAAGGTGTGCCCTATTTGGCTATAAGACATGGATCCTCGTGCCATCCATCTCTCTTCCGTGGCACAGCTTGCGACGGTTTGATGATTAATTAACTCTCTTCTGCCGAAGGCATCTTGGCACAACCAGCCAACTCTTAAGAGGGGTTATTTGCGCGCTCTGAATGCCCATCCGGCGTGGCATGATAGTTTCCATTGACGTCTTTAGGAACTCGAGAGCTGCTTTACGTGGAAAAACGGACCAGCCATTGGGTAAGAATTAGACGGGTTCGTATCCTGTCATCCTTGTGGGATTTCACACCCAGACCCCTCACACAGAGACAGTTTGGTATAGTGGTTAAGGTCTTGGTCTATAAACCAGGAGACGGCAAGTTCTAGTCCCACCTTAGGGATGAAAACCGGCTGGGTTTGGGCCAATCACCAGGAGACGGTGAGTTCTAGTCCCACCTTAGGCAAGAAAGCCGGCTGGGTTTGGGCCAATCACCAGGAAATGGTGAGTTCTAGTCCCACCTTAGGAATGAAAGCTAACTGGATCACTTTGTGCCCATCATCAGGAGTCTGGCCTTAGGCACGAAAGCCAGTTGGGTGACGTTGGGCTAGTTACCAGGTGACTGGGAGTTCTAGTCCTGTCTGAGGCACAAGAACCAATTGGGTGCCTTTTGGCCAGTCCCTCTTTTTCAACCCAACCCACCTCACAGGGTTGTTATTTTGGGGAAAATAGGAGGAGGGAGCAGTATTAGATATGTTCACCGCCTAGTGTTGTTTATAAAAATAATAACGGCAGAATAAAAATCTAGTAAATAACTAAATTTCCCTCTGTGGACTTGGGGGAATCTCCAAAAAAATCCTTGTTTTACAGCCAGCTAGAGCATCAATTCAGTGACGCCCGCAGAGTGCCTGATTTACGGTAGACACTTGCCTAAAACCCAAGAGCCTGGAAAAATACAGGTAGACCTTGATTTACGACCCACAATTAAGCCCAAAATTTATGTTGCTAAGCCAGACATCTGTCAAGGGAGTTTTGTCCCATTTTACGATCTTTCTGGCCACCGTTGTTAAGTGAATCATTGCAGTCGTCAAGTTAGGAACACGGCTGTTAAGTGAATCTGGCTTCCTGTTGACTTTGTCAGAAGGTCAAAAAAACCCCTCCCTGAAAACGTTCTCATTGCAAAATGGCCGTTTCCAACGCTCCTTTCCCAAAAAGACCCCTCTTCCCCCCCCCCAGCAGCTGCCAAACGGAGCCGGAGCTATACTGTTAAGTGGAAAAACAATTAAAAATAACTTCCCCCCCCCGAAGTTTGGGCCGTAGGGATAATTTCCGGATGTTTTTCTGAGTGGGGGAGAGGTTCCTTTGCCAAGAAATTATGCCAGGCAGAGCGAAGTGAATCAGAGGGAAGACACTGGGTGGGTGGGGGCTGTTCTCTGACTTGCAAGGAGGGGGGGCATTGGGGCGGGAGGAGTGGGACATGCAGGAGGAGACTTCGAGCTGTGTCCCCGTTCCCGAGATAAAGCCCCCGCGGCAGGATGGAGAGCCCCCCCCCCAGTGATGAAATCCAATATTTTTTACTACCAGTTCGGTGAGCGTGGCTTGGTGGGTGTGGCTTGGTGGGTGTAGCAGGGGAAGGATACTGCAAAAACCCCATTCCCTCCCCACTCCTGGGGGAAGGATATTGCAAAATCTCCATTCCCAGACCACTCTGGGGCCATCCAGAGGTGGTATTTGCCGGTTCTCCGAACTGCTCAAAATTTCCGCTACCGGTTCTCCAGAACCTGCTGGATTTCACCCCTGCCCCTCCTGCCCCCCCCCCCGGTGGCTGCTTCTGAGCATCTTCGTGCAACATCAGCCAGGTGTGGCCAGCAGCAGCCTCCGTGGTGCTTCCCCGGGAGGGAAGATTTGGGGAGGGGTGTCTTGTCTGGTGCTGAGCGGTGGACGATCTGCCTTCCCATTAGGAGCTTCACAACACGCGATTCTGCAGTGGATGGACCGAACATCATTCCGGTATCCGCATGACACATCGTGTCTCCGTGAGGTGTCTGAGCACCACAGCTGGGCCAGAGAGGGTGGGAAAAGAAGCAGACTGGTGTGATGCACAATGCGCCAATCCTCTGGCGAGGGCGGGAAGAGCAGGAGGGGGGGGCGTCCCGGTCCAGGGTTGGGACTGGCCCAGCATAAGTGGGCAATCTCACCCGTGGGGAATCACTGCCTTCTCCAGGCCTTGTGAGTCACAAGCCTTCCGGGTGCAGAGTCATTGGATGTTAAGAGTCAGACGGACCAGGAAAATGCGCCTGGAAGTGTCCTACCTTCTTTTATTTTATTTGATTATTTTATCTTTTATTTCACTTCATTTTTCATTTTTTTATTTTATTTTATTATTTTACATTTTATTTCATTTGATTATTTTTATTTTGCTTTTCTTTTATTATTGTACATTTTATTTCACTTCGTTTTAGTTACTTGACGGTTGCATTATTTCATTCGATAAGTTTTATTCATTTTGCTTTTTTATTACTATTGTGCGTTATACATTTTATTTAACTTTAGCTTTTATTTTACTTGATCTACTTGATTTTATTTATTACTCATTTATTTATGTTACTTCGTTTTATTCATTTCATTTTTTTTTTCCTTTTGCTTTTTTTGTTGTTGGATATTGCCTGTTTTAGGTCATGTTTCATTTTACTTTATTTTATTTACTTCCTATTTTATTCAATTATTTCATTTTTCTGTTTCTTCAAGTTGTACACCTAAATCAGGGTTTCTCAACCTTGGCAACTTGAAGAGGAATAGACTTCAACTCCCAGAATTCCCCAGCCAGCATAGCTGGCTGGGGAATTCTGGGAGTTGAAGTCCATTCCTCTTCAAGTTGCCAAGGTTGAGAAACACTGCTCTGCTTTTCACACGGATATCGGAGTTGTGTGGCTGTCATTTGTGACCTACCCAATGATTCTTTTGTGGACAACCTTCAATACAATTTTTTATTTTTATTATTTTTATTTTGTGAGGGTGGAAAGATTGTTTGGGGAGTGGGATTCTGCCCAGGGCCAATTGATGAGCCCAAATCCTGCTCCAGCTGGAAGCTGCCTTGCCGTCTTCTTCCTCTCTGGCTGTTTGCAAATTGGATTTGGCTCAGGGGGGAAAAAATCCATAATACGTTTCCGGAAATTTTCATTTCCAGACCCCTTGAGTTGCGGTAATGATTTTACGATAATAGAAGGTTATTTAGTCATTCCACCACAGCAGAAAAGTAGAGGTCGAAGCAGTAATTCGGAAGTGGGTTATTATTATTTTTTTTTACAGATGCTTAATGGATCACTGACAAATTTTTTTTGGATGAAAAAGAAGAGCGAAAAAGAGGTTGAAAGAAGGGTCTAAACATTTATTAGAATAAACAAGGACAAGAAAATTTGTGTGGTTTTAAACTTCCAGGCAACTGGATCTCGGTGATAATGAAGACTAGAAGCTTCCTTTTTTTCAAGGCTGTTCCGCTTGTTCTACGGTGCTTCTTATTCAACTTGGAGGGGAATAAAAAAGCAGCGAACATTAGAGAGAGGCAGATTAGAAAGGAATAATACGTAACTCAGAAGCTCAGGCTTCCAATGTTTAAATAGAAGTACAGATAGCCCTCGACTTACAATAGTCCGTTTAGTGACCGTTTGAAGTTACAACGACCCTGAAAAAAGTGACTTATGGCCATTTTTCACACATATGATGACATTACATTGTTTCACTTAGCAACACAAATTTTGGGCTCAATTGTAGTTGTAAGTCGAGGTCCTAGGGATGCTACAACCGTCATAATTGTGAGGACGGGTCATCAGTCCCCTGTTTCAGTGTTGTAACCTCAAACAGTCACTAAATGAATGGTTGTAAGTCAAGTATTTTGGGGAGAGGGGTTCTTACCCAAGAGAGAGGCCAAAGCAATTGGGGAGGGGGCCATCCTGGCTCACAGCACGATGCAGAAGAGCCGTTTCTCTCGGAAAGGGTTCTCGGCCGAGGAGACGGGAGTGACCAGGGGGTCCTCCTTCGCATGGGCTTCGCAGTACGCCAGGAGATCAGCTGCCGCCTTGGACACCTGGCCCAGAGGAAGCGCGAAAGACAGACTTTAGCTAGACTACTGCACCACATTACTTCAGGAGCAGCCCTGGGCATCTGTTCAGTGGGCACTTGATGTTCGGGGCCCACTCCTTTGGCTCCCGAAGCCTTGAGCTAGACTATTTCACTATGTTACTTAAGGAGCAGCCCTGGGCATCTGTTCAGTGAGCATCCAATGTTTGGGTCCCCCTCCCTTGGCTCCCAAAGCCTTTAGCTAGACTACTTCACTGCATTACTTCAGGAGCAGCCCTGGGCATCCGTACCGTGAGCATCTGATGTTCGGGACCCACTTCCTGGCTCCAAAGGACCAGCCCCCCCACCCACTTACCTTCATGCGATCGATGTTGACTTCGAGTTTCAGCTGTTCTACCGTCTTGCGTGCCTCCGCAATCTTGGCCATGTTGTTGGACATGTCGCTCTACGCACACAGGGGGAGGGCACACCTTCGCCCAGCAGGGGGGCACACACAGAGACAAGCCGGTTGTGCGTTCGCAGCTGCAGCGAATGGGGAAGGAGCGCAGCGTCCCTTCCCAGATGAGAAGATATTCATGCAAAACCCACATTTTGCATTTGCTATCAACGCAGCCCTTGGCTTTCAGAATGCACTTAATCCACAAACACACACATACACACACCCCAACAAAAGCCTGCGCCAGAAAAGTTGCACGGTCCAGACGGTGTCTAACTGTCCCGCTCAATGACCAGCCTCCCTCCCTCCCCCAATTTGGAAAGTCCCATATGAGAGGAACACAAGTAAGGCAAGTGAAATACCCAGTTTCTGCAACCGTTCATCATATATTTTAGCCTCTCATCCACTCATTATCTTTGTAGCTCTTCCCCGCCCTCTTTCTAGAGAGCAATTAACCAAATGTTTGTTTCGTACGTCCAGCCGTCTTTCTTGCCAGAATTAAAGAGAAAATAACAGAATAGAAGAACAGCATTGGAAGGGACCCTGGAGGTCTTCTAGTCCAACCCCCTGCTCAGGCAAGAAGCCTTGTAACATTTCAGTCAAATGTTGTCCAATCTTTTCTTAAAAACGTGCAGTGATGGGGGAGCACCCACAATTTCCGAAAGCAAACCTTTCTATTGATTAATTGTTCTCATTGCTAGGAATTTCCTCCTTAGTTCCAGGTTGCTTCTCTCCTGGATTCGTTCCCATCCGTTGCTTCTTGTCCTGCCTTCAGGGGCTTTGCAGAATAGCTTGACTCCTTCTTCTTTGGGGCAGCCCCTGAGATATTGGGGGACATGAATATCTCCCCAAGTCCTTTTCATTAAACTAGACATACCCAGTTCCTGCAGCCGTTCATCATAAAGAGCCTTGGTAGTACAGTGGTCTAAAGCACCCTGTTATTAAGACCAGCTGCCTGCAATTACTACAGGTTTGAATCTCGCCAAGGCTCAAGGTTGACTCAGCCTTCCATCCTTTCTAAGGTAGGTAAATTGAGGACCCAGATTGTGGGGGCAATAAGCTGACTTTGTATAAATATACAAAAGTATGAAGGCTATTGCTCAACGCATTGTAAGCCGCCCTGAGTCTCCGGAGAAGGGCGGCATATAAATCAAAATTTTTAAAAAATAAAAATGTTTTCGCCTCCAGCCCCCCCCAATCATCTTCGTTGCTGTTCTCTGCACTCCAATTAACCAATGTTTGGTTTCTTATGTCCAGCTATCTTTCTTGCCAGAATTAAAGAGAAAATGAGACGGGGGTGGAGGGGGGGGGGTCAGGCTACCGAAGAGATGAAGGCACCGGGTGACAGTGGGAGACTCAAAGCCTGCCCTACTTTCCAAAGGAAATTGGCTCCAGACCCCCAACCGGGCGGAGCAACCATTTGCAGGGGGCAAATGCCATTAATTAGCTCTCTCCTTATGTCCCCCCTGCCCCCCCCCCACCGCTCAGGGGTCTGCTTCACAAGATTCAAAGCCATCCAGTAATTGCACAGCCCTCCTGCGTGGGAGATGGGAGGAAGCAGCCAGGGAAGGAAAGATTAAGACGCAGCTAGAGATTTTGGGTGGGTGGGTGGGTGGATGGGGGAGGTGCCAGGGTAGCAGGGGGCCTTTGGAAGCAGCCCCTCCCTTCTAAAGGCTTCCATTCTTAGAAGATGTGAGGTGTTAATACGGCTTTGTAATGCCTTGGTAAGGCCACGCTTGGGATATTGCATCCAGTTTTGATCGCCACAATATAAAAAAAGATGGAAAGAGTGCAGAGAAGAGCAACAAAGATGATTAGGGGACTGGAAGCAAAAACATAAATAACAGTTGCTGGAATTGAAGCGTTGCTGGCTGGGGGATTCTGGGAGTTGAAGTCCACCCATCTTCAAGCTTCCAAGGTTGAGAAACACTGGTTTAATGAAAAGAAGGACTAGGAGTGACACGATAGCAGTCTTCCAATATTTGAGGGGCTTCTTATATTTATACTTATTCCAATACTTATTCTCCAAAGCCCCTGAAGGCAGGACAAGAAGTAACGGATGGAAACGAATCAAGGATTGAAGCAACCTGGAACTAAGGAGAAACTTCCCTATAGTTAGAACAATTAATTATTAATTAATTCAATATTAAACTAATTAATTCAATGGAGTGACTTGCCTCCGGAAGTTTTGGCTGGTCCAACACTGGAGGTTTTTAAAAAGAGACTAGGCAATTATTGGTCCAGAATTGTATAGGATCTCCTGCTTCAGCAGGGGGTTGGACTAGAAGACCTCCAGGGTCCCTTCCAATTCTGTTATTCTGTTCTGTTATTCTGTTAAGACAGAGGTCTTCAAACTTGGCAGCTTTAAGACTTGTGGACTTTTTTTTTTTTTTAATTTGATTTATACACCGCCCTTCTCCGGAGACTCAGGGCGGCTTACAATGCACTCAGCAATAGCCTTCATCCTTTTGTATATTTATACAAAATCAGCTTATTGCCCCCACAAACTGGGTCCTCAATTTACCTACCTTAGAAAGGATGGAAGGCTGAGTCAACCTTGAGCCTGGCGAGATTCGAACCTGCAGTAATTGCAGGCAGCTGATCTTAATAACAGGGTGCTTTAGACCACTGTACTACCAAGGCTCTTCTGGGACTTCAACTCCCAGAATTCTCCAGGATAGCTGGAGAGGGGCGTCTTCGCAGAGGGGCGGCATATAAATTGAATTAAATTGAAATTGAAGTCCACAAGTCTTAAAGCTGCCAAATTTGAAGACCTCTGTGTTAAGAGTTCATTTTTGGCAGTGCCTCTGAGAATATGCAGAGTCCTTTTGAAACCTACAAGGTAGATCAAGCCACTCTCTTTCCCTCCCTCATTCCAATTTCTAGGGGTTAACCCCAAATTTGGGATCCGGAATACTTCTGGCAGTTTGCTCTGCTGTTTTACTCAGTTTCTGGGGGATTCTGGGAAGAAATACAATTGGCAGGGGAGCTGTGTCGAAGGGTTGCAAAACGGGCTTGCAATGCCAGGTGTCCAATGCCAGTTGCCAAGAAAGGAAGCCTCTGAGCATATGCAGAGGGCTTTTTACTGCTTTTTTTTTTTTGCTTTCCTGATAGGAAAGCCAGATCTTTCTGCTGCCCTGCCCTGCCAGCTGGGACGCAATCCAGCTCAGCTTGGCACCTGATGCCAAGGGAGAAGACGGCTCCCTCATCTCTGCTTGGCACAGATAAATATCAGGAAGAGAGCAAGGGATCCCTGGAGATCCCCTCCGTGTTTGAATTGCAGAAAGAAAGGACCTCAAGAAAGTAGCATTAGGGATCACACACTCTACAAGTTAGGCTAGGGCTGCTGCCTTTAAAGATTTAAGATTACTAAAATATTGAAAAGTGAACTGTTTTAAAATACAGTGGCTAAATATTTAATGCTAATATTCATTACTGCAATGTTTTAAGCTTTTATTCTGTTTCTTTGTTCATTTTTAAGTGAGATGGGTGGCATATTAATTCCATAATAAATAAAATTATGATGCAAATGGATAAACAAAATGCAGTGATCCAAATGGGTGCGTTTATCCTACTTTTTTTTCCCTCTTGAGTATGTGTAGAAATAAAAATACAAGGGAAACCCAAACCTATTTTTCAACAAGAACCTAGTTAAATGTTCAAATTTGCTTTCCCCAAAAGACTTTAATTTTATTTGTATTGTATTCAGAGAGGGCCCAGCAACTCTGGACGATGATAAACAAAGGTTAGCAAAAGCCTGCCGGTTTTAGAAGTTTTAAATTAAATTAATTTTTAATTACAATGGAAAAGCATCTGGTACTTTATACTTATTATGTCCACATTTCCTGTGGGATGCTAAAGGACTGCCAATATAATATTTCATGCAGCACATGAAATTTTAGTGCCTCCTAAACTGCTAATATTCCGAATATTTCATCTTGGCTGTCACTGTTAGGTCACTTTCTCCTATAAAGTAAGGAAGGGGAAAAGGGAATTTCTGATCTTCGAAACCTTTAATTTGTGAGGATGCAACTCAAGTGAAACATTAAAAAGTTTGCAATGAGTTAAGAAAACCAGGTTGGTCTGCAGCAGCCTGAAATCAAATTTCAGGTAACATTTTTTTAATGAATAATAACATTTCATTCAAAGCCATCTGTTTTGCAAGTTTGGACTCTGGGTTTTGAAATTTCAATTGGACTTGAATAAAAATATGTTATTTAAAAAAAGGCTATTTACTTCTGATCTCTTACTATCTTTTAGATGAAATTAAGAGAAGAACGTTTCGTGAAAACTGGTTTTTAGCAGGTGGGCGCTGAGTATTTATCGGTGTTGTTTCTTCAAACTTAGAAAGAGCTGGATGTATGGCTAAGACCTCTGTCCGAAAAGAAACTAGAGGTCACTCATCTTTGATGTCTTTTTGGTCAGTTTCTTATTTTATCGTTCTCCTAGCTTGTATTTTAAGGTGGGATATCAAAGCTGAATGAAGAGACTCTTAAGAAAAAGCATCACTTTTGATGCCTCTGGATCAAATCTCTTAGCCAGAAAAGATGCTACCAGACACCTCTGAGTTTTTGAGTCCCAACACCTATCCATCAAAACTCAGGTCCTAAGAAGCAATTAAAACCTTGGCTTTGCTCAAGAGCCCCCCCCCCCCAAACCCCCCCCCTTCCCCCCCAAATTTTGGCTTAGAAGGGGACAGCTTTGCTGGGGTGCATGCGTGTTTGGTTCATTCCCCCCCCCCTGTTTCTCCAGAATCTGGGGTACCAAATGCCAGTTCCCCTCCGAACCCACGCTGCCCATTTCCCCCCTCCCCTCCCTCCAAAGCGAATGGCTCCGGGTTCAAAGAATAAGAAAGAGAAGGTGAGAATCGTGGAAGGTTCCTACCTGTTGCAGCTTCAGGGAGTGACTGCCTTGGGCTCTGGATGGTGTGAGCAGCTGGTGGAAGGTCCCCGCTGGGGTTTTACAGACAAAGAACAGAAGAAAGGGACCTGCTGCTGCCAGTGGCTGCCTCCCCCCCTCAAGAGAAGCTGTTTTATATGCAGAGGGGAGGATGGGCCACAGGATCTAAGGCTGGAGACCTGGTTTATGGAAGCATTTGGAGATTTCCAGGATCAGTGTTTCTTAAGCTTAGCAGCTTGAAGAGGAGTGGACTTCAATTCCCATAATTTCTCAGCTAGCATTTTAATGAATTTAAAAGATGGGTGGACTTCAACTCCCAGAATTCCCAGCCATTATGCTAATGAACTTATCAGATGGGTGGACTTCAACTCCCAGAATTCCCTAGCCATTATACTAATGAATTTATCAGATGGGTGGACTTTAACTCCCAGAATTCCCTAGCCATTATGCTAATGAACTTATCAGATGGGTGGACTTCAACTCCCAGAATTCCCTAGCCATTATACTAATGAATTTATCAGTTGGACTTCAACTCCCAGAATTCCCCAGGCAGGATGCTAGTAAACTTTTTTAAGATGTGAGGACTTCAAGATCCAGGCTAGCTGGGGAATTCTGGGAAGTGAAGTCCACACATCTTCAAGTTGCTAACTTTGAGAAACACCGCATTGAGAGCCCTCGACAGGTAGTCCTTGACTTACAACTGTTCATTTAGTGACCATTCAAAGTTACAGTGGTGCTTTAAAAAAAAAGACCCCGCACCGTTCCTCGCTCTTAGGACTGTGGCAGCACCCCCACAGTCATGTGATCCCAATTCAGGTGCTTCGTGACCGGGGTGTATGTACAATGGTCTCAGCATCCGATGTCTTTTGCTAGGTTAGAACTAACCGAGTTTCATAGGAAGTTGGCTTAGGGTACCAATTAAAAAAGATGCTGTTTCTCTATTATCACTGCAGCAAGATTAGCGTATGCGCAGGAGTGGAAAAATCAATACTTACTGATAGATTTGAAAATAATATATAAAATTAATAGTGTGCGGAATCAGATAGATTAACTAGATTGATCAATGGTAAAAAAGATTCAGAATTTTATAAGAGTTGAAAAGTATGGAACGATTGGGTCCAGAAAAGGTGGGATAGAATAGATATATGATGATGTATATATATATGGTGGCAAATATGTATGTATAAAGGAATGATTTTATACTTATGGACAATGTAATCATATTATACCATGGTGGCAGGATTGTATATTTTATTTGTGTATTAGTGTATAGAATGTATTAATAAAAAAAAAAAAAGATGGTGTTTCTCTACGTTATGCTTTTTTTTCTTTTTTTAAAAAAAGACAAAAGGCAGGGGGTGAAAATTAGCTCGGGATATCACAGGTGGACAAAGATTGTTCAGAATAAAATTCTGCAGAATTTTGTAAAATTCTGCCAGCGATGTTAGATTTTAGCATCATTTATGGGAGGAAAAACAATCTTGGGTGCAGTGCTGATGTCGGCCACAGGAGGGCAGAGCAGGCAAGAAAATCACCCCATGGAAGGCATCTACTTAAGAGTATTAACAAATATTCCTGGAAAATTCTTGCCAGCCTCTGAAATTCGATTCCACTACCAAATTTGGAGATCAGGCAACTTGCTAGACCTGAGTGAGCAAAAGGGAATTTCTGAGCTCATATAATATGTGGCTTGCCTGATTCTTATCACCTGGTAATGCAGTGTTTCTCAACTTTGGTGACTTAAAAGATCTGTGGACTTCAAGTCCCAGAATTCCCCAGGCAGTAAAAGTTCAATAGTGTGCTGGCTGGGGAATTCTGGGAGTTGTAGTCCACACATCTCAAAGTTCATTAGCATGCCCACTGGGGAATTCTGGGAATCAAAGTCCACAAGTCTTAAAGCTGCCAAGTTTGAAGACCTCTGACATATCTTAAAGTTGCTAAGATTATCAAACACAATGGTCATGCAAGAACACACTGAATTATATTTCTGCATTTAAGTCAGATTTTTTTTTTCCTAGACCCCGCCGGGACACTGCAACCGTCATAAATACAAGTCAGCTGCCAAGGGTCTAAATTTTGATCACGTTGCAACGGTCGTAAGTGTGAAAAACGGTCATAGGTCCCTTTTTTCAGTGCCGTTGTAACTTGGAACGCTCCCTAAATGAATGGTTGTAAATGGAGGACTACCTGTAGAGGGGAGATTTTTAATCCCCGGGGGGTTAAATCCCCGTTTGTCTCTTCCAGACATCCTGGGCTCTGATCTCTCTGCCTCCAACACGGAGGAAGGCAGCTGAAGTCTCTGTGTGTCTCCCTTTTCTCTGTGCGTGGAGTTCTTTTGCACAAGTGCTGCAACTTTGTGCAAGCTGCATCGGATTCTGATCGAAGCCAGATGAGAGCGCTCAGTTCCTTTGACCTGATGTCATGTGTCTGCCTTTGGCTCAGGCATGCCACACGCGTGTGCACACTCCTCTGGCTCTCCTTCGGCCAGCTGCGATAAGGGTGCTGCAGGGGGGCTAAAATTAACCAGGGGGTTGGGGGGAGGAGGAAATTCTTGGGGCAGCGTCTGGAAGAGATCAGAGCTTTGCCAGACAGCGGGACGGGGAAGGACTGGAGGGCTGCGCCGGAGTCAGGCAGGCACAAAGGAGAGGCCGAAACTCAGCCATTTTATTCTGAAGAGGACGAGAACTGTGGTTCAGGGCAGTCTACCTGCAGAATGGGGCCAGTGAGGGAGCTCTGCAAGGCAAAAGAGAGCTTAAATCCTTTTCAGCTATGGAGCCAGGGTGGTGGTGATGGTATTTAGAGCTACCAGCAGGCAAATCTTCACCTGCTTTTTTCAGAAAAAGAAGAATGCAAAAGTAGCAAAGGTTTATCCATTCTGCTGAGTGTCCCCAGATTTTGAAGGAGGCGCTGGTAGTTTTGGGGTGCATGCGTTCTGCATGTATATTTACGTTATATGGGAGTGGGTGAATGTGTGCATTTCCGTCCCTATGAAGAAAAGACACCAGATGGGGCGGAGAGGGAGGGAGGGAGGCGAGGGGGGAGATAGAAAGGAAGGAAGGAAGGAAGGAAGGAAGGAAAAGAAAAAAGAGAGAAAGAAAAAGAAAGGAAGGAAGGAAGGAAAGGAAGGAAGGAAGGAAGGAAGGAAGGAAGGAAGGAAGGAAGGAAGGATGCAACAGTGTTTCTCAACCTTGGCAACTTTCAGATGCTTGGACTTCAATTCCCAGAGTTCCCTAGAGAGCGGGCTGAGGAATTCTGGGAGTTGAGGTCCAAGCATTTTAAACTGCTCCAGCTTGAAAAACTCTGGGCCACACAGAGATAGAAAAATATTGATTCTGCCCTTAGAACCATAGGAACAAAAACGAACTTTGGCTTCAAAGCCAAAGGAGAAAGGCACTCTGCACATGCTCCCAGCATCCCTGCCATTCCTTCCCAGGGTGGATCATTTGAAAGCGCCCACTGGAGGGCTCAGCCTCGTCTTCGCCAACCCCTTCAAACCAGGGCTGAGTGGCAGCGCCCAGAAGGCCTCCCTCTCCACAGCAACAGGCTGGAGAAATCCTCTTTTGCTGGCGAATGGGCCCCCATCCCTTCGGCCCACAGAGTGCATCATGTGGACTAGAATCTTAGCCTTCCTTGCTTCAGGTGGGGAGGGGGGGGTCTGATTGGTTTCTGCAGCCTTTCCAGAGTGAAGGTTGCTTGCCAAGAAGACTGCTAGATAAAATCCAGGCCGGGGGGGGGGAGAAATTAACCTCCCCCCCATTCCCTTCTCCCCATCTTCTTGACTCTTCCACTCATCCTCAGCTGACTCCTCAGCATCTCCAGACGATGAGGCTGGTTGGTGCCGTCGCCATAGCAACCCTGCCACAAGCACCCGCATCCTTCTGCCTGGTGGGTGAGGAAGACAAGCATCTCCCGGCAGGTGGGTGTGGAGGGGGGGAAAGGTGGGGTCCACCAATCCTCTCCAGCTCCCCCTCCCACCAAGGCTCGGCTCCTCCAGGGCCTTTCCCCAGGGCGGTGTGACCTGGAGACGGCGTTTGGCATGAGGTGGGCAGCTTGGCTGGCAGAAACCGAGATAAGAGGGGTGGGGGGCTTCATGGTTTGTGCAAACTGACTTTCGTTAGGGTCATTCTGCAGGTCCAGAAATGGGTCAACAGAGTAACCAGGTTAAATATCTTTGTAGCAATGCAGCAGGATTCACGAATGCCAGAGGAATCGGTTCCCTCCCACCCGTTTCCTGCAATTCTGAAGTTGCCACCGATTCGTTTCCTTGCATGGCCAGGAAGGCACAGGTAGTCCTCAGCTTACGGCCACAATTGAGCCCCACGTTCCTGTTGCTAAGTGAAGCGTTTGTTCAGTGAATTTTGAGAAATTTTACCACCTCGCTTGCTTGCCACATTTGTGACGGGAATCACTGCAATTGTGAAGTTAGAATAACAGTGAATCTGGCTTCCCCATTAAATTTGCTTGTCGGAAGGTCGCAAAAGAGATCACGTAACCCCGGGACACTGCAACCGTCATAAATACGAGTCCATTGCCAAGATTTCTGAATTTTGCTGAAACGGTTGTACGTGTGAAAAAAACGGTTGCAAGTCACTATTTTCAGTGTCGTTCTAACTTCGAATGGTCGCTAAGCGAACTGTTATAAGTTCAGGACCACCTGCAATTACCAAAAATAAACACACACACACACACACCCCTCAATTGTTGAGCCAAAGAACACACAACCGCTTGGCTGCTGCCTTTTACCCACAACAGGCAGCCCCGTCCTCAAACTGTTGCAAAATTCGCATCGTCCGTCCGTTGAGCCATCACCCAGCTTTGAACCCCGAATGCTATGGGGTGACCCCCCCTCTCCTCCCCCCCTCAGCATGCTTTCCTGGTGCATTCAGGAGGGTTCAAAACAATCCTGCTCAATCCTGTCCAGCGGATAGGCAGACCCCCCCCCCTTCCGCCTTGTGAAACTTTTAACCACTCCTGTTTTAGCAAAGGAGCAGGGCGTTTTATGGCTTCGGCTGCGGGTGGGTGGGTGGGAGGCCTTTATATGGCCTTCTCCGCTTTGCAAACCCTCCTAATATTAAGCAATTGC